AAAAAATTACTCTATTGCTTACTTGAGAAATAATCTCATATACCAGGGGAAGTTCCAAATGAGGTTTCATTAGTAACAATGTTGGTGTCGATGCACAGTTCCTGGGGATCTGCAGCAATCATGGATGGGTTCAGGTCTGGTCATATTATGCAAAAGAAGATGGTTTGAACCTTTTCAAACCATGGGTGAGGCGACCAACCAATTTGGCTAAATGGTTGTTGTTGTTGTTCTGTGAGCTTAAAATATATATAAAAATATATTTCTAATATCTGAAAAGTTGGATCTCATTTAGTGGCAGTATTTCTAATTATGCTTCTATAGAAAAGACCCTCCTCAGRGGGCTGTGGCTGTGGCTGTGGCTCAACAGTAGCACACTTTCTTGGCATGTGTGAGGCACTGGGTTCGATTCTCAGCACCACATACAAGTAAGTAAAATAAAGATCTATCAACAACTAAAAAAAAAATGAAAAAAAAAAAGAAAGAAAAGACCCTCTTTAGGAAGAAAGTTGGTTATGTAAAAATTTTACATTTATGTCACTTGTTAAATTTATTGTCCTGTGTCTTTTTCAAAGAAATACCTTGCATTTCTAGTGGATGTTTTCTATAACAGACTTTGGGAGACACTGGAGTAGTAACTATGTGATCAGGGATGTACTTTAAGTCATTCATCCAGGAGCTATTTACATTCAGGATAAAGAGGGGGAGAAACAGCATAGTAAATATATTTCAGATGATGAAAGTAATTATAGGATCATAGCATAAATACATCTTGAAAATGAACTGAGCAGAATTTTGCAACTGAATTGACATGGGCAACAAGGTTAGGATAGGCAGTAAGGATTCATAGGTGTTGGAACTTAAACATTTCATAGGGTAGGAAAATGGGGAAACTTATAGAAATTGGGAATATCAAGAGTTGTATCTTTGTTCAGATCTCTTTGTGGGATCTGGACAAATTCACTGAAGGAATGAAAGACTGTTTTGCTGGAAACAGTTGAGTATCCTGATTAGCACTTACTCTTCCTTCTTGCAGGATTTTCCTCCCTCCTTTCTTCCAACTCATCCCTCTTAAAGTTTTACTTACCACTAAATTTGGCTACTGAAGGAAAATCTAATTTGTGTCCTTTTTTTCTATATTTAAAACACATTCTTTTTAAGAGTTTTAGTGAAACTCTTAAAAAGAATATCCTAATAGGAATCCACTTCAACAAATGCTAGGTAGTTGCTCAGAATGATGCAATAAGTAGGGGGGGAAAAAGAACAACAACAACAACAAAAAAAAAAAAAAAAAAACAGGCAGTTACAATGGCTTTTTAATCTTTTAATTCATTTATTTTAGAATGACAATATGTCATAACATATATCACTGATATTAAATGAAAATTCATTTTCTTCACTAATATGTGGATATATTTTTAATATGGTCTGCTCTTATAAAACTTTGTTTTTGCTTTGGGCAGTTTCACTGAAAGAGGCTTATAGTGGTTCCTGCTTTCACAATAAAGCCTTTGTGATTAGAAGAACATACTGCAACTTGCATGCTACTACAGATGTTAAGAACAAGAATTTAGACAGCCATTGATTCAGACTTAAAATAATGGAGCATTTATGTGAACAAGGTTCTCCTCTTGCCAAGTAAACAAAATACAACAAACCACATCGTTTTATCCTTTTCTGGCACATCCACATTTCCTCAACCAAAGCCCTATTGCTGATGACCACAAGCCAGAACAAACAGAAATGAAGTCACTCCCTGTTGGTCCCCCTTTGCTCTTGTGCTCTTTGGGGTACTCTTAAGCCAGATTTTGTTCTTTTATTTACAAGCATTAGCCCCTTCTCTGATTTAAGGAATATATTCCAAAGACAATTTAATGCCAAATGATGTCCTAGGCGATGATTATATGAGCCAACTGATCTACCTGTTGCCTCTAATTAATAGCACTCTGTCATGATTTGCTGACAGAATCAATTTATGTACCATATATAATTTTTCTCTTATATCTCTACCAACTGAGCCATATCCCCAGCCCTCTTTATATCTCAGTTCCCCATTTCCAATTTTAACAGTTTTTTAAAAGTATAAAATTATAGATTAAATGGGGACCAAAGAAGTCACCTAGTCCTGGTTTTCACTATGAGGAAAGCTTTGATAAAATCCTGACAAGATTTAGCCTCCATTTGAACTTTCTGGCAGTTAATTTCTTACCTTTTGAGATGGTATTTTCCATTATTAGACATTCTAAGTTTTAGGAAAGTCCTCCTTACTTTCAGTTTTRCTATTCTTCCCCAGCATATAGTACATAATTGGGATTCTTCTCTCAACTGTAACTTTCATAATGCTCAGCCTAAGGCAACCACTGTGCGCTGTAAAGTAAGTTCTTTTTAGATTATCTGGAATAGTGCTATATGTTATCTTTTGAAAAACTGAGAAAATGGTCATTTGGATTATTTCCTTGCATGTTTCAGACAAGGAATTCTAGTTGAATGCTGAAAGACTATCATTTACTAGCTATATGATCTCAGAAAAATTCACTTCATTTCTTTTGGGCTGTCTTTCAGCAACAAAAATTACAAGTATAATATCCTTTTCACAGGTTGCCCTGCGAATCAAATAACATACATAACAACAGAGCAGAGACTTTATCTATCTTGTTCACTTCTTGATTCTAAGTGCCTAATGCAGACAGCAGTTAAGCACAGACTAAATCCTCAAAATCATAAAAAATAAAAAGACTAATAGCTCCTGGCATATTGCCTTGCATGTTACACTCAACAAAAGGTAGTCAATCATCCTTCCTATGACCTGGTTTCTAGATTTCTCCCTTTATTAATTATATTAATTATTCTTATAGAAGTTCTCCAGTTATATCTTAAGATGGGATTCTAACAAATTACTGTGTAGTGTGACAATTTTATTTGAACATAATTATTTGAAGGAAGTCTACACAAACAAGAATATACTGAGAAAAATTTTTAATTGCATTAAAAATGGCATTTAAAAACTCACTTTCTCACCAGGTATGGTGGTGAACACCTGTAATTCAAGTTACTCAGGAGGATGGCAAGTTCAAAGCCAGCCTCAGCAACTTAGCAACACCATCTCAAAATAAAAAATAAGAAGGGTTGGGGATATAGCTCAGTGGTAAAGCTCTCACAGGTTCAACCCTCAGTACCAAAACAGAACAAAATATAAAATCCAAATAACAACTAACACACATTCTCCCAATAACATTCTTTAAACCTTGGGGAATACATGATTAAGAGAACAAGATATCAGCAAAGGAACAATCAGCCAGACCAAGAATAGTGCAATAGTATGGGAAGCCATTGCAACCAATACTTATTTTTATTAGTGAACCTAATGAACATCCAATGTAGTGATTATGCGTTGATTTATTAGCCTCTCCATTAAGAATATACTCCTTGATCTAGATGTCAGGATTGCATAAAGCTCATCCACAGTGTTTATCACAGAGAAGATTCCCAAATATTTTTGTATGCTTGAAGGAGTAAAGGTAAGAAATTTCAAAGAAATATGAATAGATACCAAATGAGAGGAATCCGTAGGACTGATGTTCCAGCAGTCAGTTTTGCAACAGCAGATTAAGATTAAGGAGCTTGGATTGAAAGCAAACAAAATGAAAAATAGGAAAATTAATTTGGAGTCTTTGGCAAAGGAAATGCAAATCACCTTAATAACACTGAAGGTTTAGGTGTTGTGTTTTGTCTTTCAGTATGCAGAGTTGCGCGCCTATAATCCCAGCGGCCCAGTAAACTGAAGCAGGATAGGTGCCCGTCTCAGCAATTTAGGGGTAGGGTTAGGGTCTGGGTCTCAAAATAAAATATAAAAAGGGTAAGGTGAGAATGTGGCTGGGTGGTTAAGCCCTCCCTGGATTCAATCCTGGTACAAAAATAACAGCAACAACAAGAAAGAGAATATTGAAGATGTTAAGTGCTGGGGAAGAGATGAAAGGATAAGCTAGTCTAATAAAAACGATTATTTTTCACCAACACAAGTTAAAGAGTCTGGGAATATGCCAGTTAAGGAGGCTCGAATTATATTCTCAAAGTAGGGGAACTAGCTGGGTAAGGTCGTGGAAATCGGAGAATTCTGACCCCAAACAGTAATTGTGTAAACAAAAAGTGAATATTGTTGCTCGGGTTTGTAATTACCAAAGAAGAAAATCCTTTCTGTCTTCTTCCTGAGTTAACCATAGTAAACGTGTGATAACATTAACAAACCCCTACATACGCAATTTTCTATTAAACAAAAGCGCATATCTCTAAAAATAAAAATGCGGTTACACCAAGAAAGGATTTTAAAAGAGGACTTGTTTGCAAGCTAATTGAGGGGAGGCATTTGCTTTTAAACTGAAGTTCAAGCTGTAACATTTCCAAATGCCAGACGCTGTTGCAGCACACTTCTTCGGAGATCGAGTTTGACCCCACGGACTGGGTAAGGTGAGAATCTGGCTTGGCGGCTTCGGCTGCGGGTCTCCGGTTCCCTTCCCTTTGTAAGGCGGGTCGGGCTCAGGCCGCAGCGAGGCATTCGACGGCTCTGGGTCCGAATGCTAGGTCGAGCTGTCTGGCGAGGTGCAGGGCGAATCGCTCCAGCCCTGGCAGCGAGGGAACAGTCTCCAGAGAACATCGCCAACTCTCTGAGATCGCTGTGGGACGAGGGGTAAGCCACCCTGTTCCCTTGATCGCCGGCGGCCAGGGACACATAGTTCCGTGCCATTTTCAAACACTGCCTGCAGTGTTTACGGTATGTGGGTCGGTCAAGGCAGTCCTTTCGCAGAGCCGCAGATCAGTCTGGCCCCTCTCGGACTAGGGCACTAACTTTACCGGAAGCCATAACCAACAACGCAACGCCCCAAGCAGCCGATTTAAGGAGGCCTCTCCTCTCGAGCATGCGCAGTCACCCGCCGCGTACGCCGACGCCGGTCGCGAGCGAACGTGATGGACGTTTACGTCATGACGCTTCTCCGCAAGGCGTAAGGTTTCCGAGAGTGCGCAGTGGGTGCGTTGGACCCGACCCTTCGGCCTGGGTGGGGAGGGGGCGTCGTTGAGATGGGGGCGGCGGCAGCGGAGGCGGACCGCACTCTCTTTGTCGGCAACCTTGAAACTAAAGTGACAGAGGAACTACTTTTCGAGCTTTTCCACCAGGTGAGCGGCTGGGGTCAGCCCCCTTGACTTTGGTTTTCTGGCTCGCCTAGAGCCTGGCCCAACGGAAACCCCACTTTCCTCGCGCGAGCTCGGCCGTCAGTCAGGGCACCCAGGTGGGCTGTATGCGAGTCGAGGGCGCCGTCGGGAAGTGAGGGTGGCTCTCTATTGGAAGAACCATAAGTAGTTGAAGCCAGAGGGGCTACGACAGGTAGTGGAGGAATCTGCAGGCACCCCTTCAGTGGTAAGGAGTTACGGGACCTAAGGGACTGAACGTGTCTTCGTTGAATATGACTTTCCCTTTTTCCTCTTCTTCCCTTTAAGGTGGTTTCTGTTTGGTTCGCCTACCTCGGACGTTAGATTTCAGTTTCTGTGTCAGTGTCTGTTTATATTTAAGTTGCTTATAAATTGCAAGATTATTAAAACATTTTGAAAGCCCACAAAATCACCGTAGAAGCCGGGCATTGATGGCGCGCGCTTGCAATCCCATTGACTCGGGAGGCTGAGGCAGGAGCATACCAAGGTTGAGGCCAGCCTCAGCAATTGAGCGAGGCCCTATCTCAAAATAAAAAGGGCTGGAATGTGCCTCAGTGGTTAATCGCCCTGATCCAATCCCTGGTACAAAAACAAACACCCTAGAAAAGCACTATTGTAGTGCTTCTGTGTTAAAATGTGCGAAAAATTTTAAGTATCCTGTTTTTCTCAGCCCTATCACCCAGTAACTGGTAATGTTTGATAAATGGATACAAAGTGAATTTTTTGATTTGAGAAAATAACTTTCTCTTGTTCTTGTTCATTTTCATGAAGGGGAAAAATGATAACTGATGGGCACTTTGTTAAAGTCATCCACAGTGCTTTGAAATGTAAAATTAGTGATTGTGTTTCTTTGTGGGCATCCTTAAAACTAAAGTGAGTCCTTGTGGACTCCCCATCTCCAAATAAGTGAATCTAATTTTCAGTTGAGTAGAATTTTTACTCCAAACCAAAATGGAAATCCACATGTATCCCTTTTCTTAAAGTTCCTGATTACATTTAAGTTGTTTTTAACCTTCGTAATCTCTTTTTATTTATAAAATTTGGATATTTTCCTGAAGTGCCTTTTAAAATTCTAAACACTTTTTGTTTATAGGCTGGGCCAGTAATAAAGGTGAAAATTCCAAAAGATAAGGATGGTAAACCAAAGCAGTTTGCATTTGTGAATTTCAAACATGAAGTATCTGTTCCTTATGCTATGAATCTTCTTAATGGAATCAAACTTTTTGGAAGGCCCATCAAAATTCAATTTAGATCAGGTAAACTGTTCAATGATGTTAGGGGAAGAAGGGTTGTTTGCTGCTGTGTGTGTGTGTGTGTGTGTGTGTGTGTGTGTGTGTATTTTATTTTTTTTTTTCTCTTTTTTTTTTTATTGGTCGTTCATAACATTACATAGTTCTTAATACATCATATTACACGGTTTGATTCAAGTGGATTATGAACTCCCGCTTTTACCCCGTATGTGTGTGTATTTTAAAGTGTATTAAAATGTAAAGAACCTCTGTTCTGGGTGAAAATGCTTTTGTAAGCTTTATGAGTAGAATACTTTTCCCTGACAATGGGTAACATTAACACATGGATTTTGAAAGTCAAAATTTTAAAATGAGTTTAAAATTCCATTTGGATTAGGGAAAAGAACATATAAGGTTTATTATTAGAGTTGAGTTTGGACCCATTCTCTTATGTGAAGCAAGGATTATCTCCTGATCCTGGCTGTTTTGAAATTTACATTTTCCAATTTTAATCTTAATCTTGTGTGGATGGAACTTCCTATGTGTTAAATTTGGTGCAGGGGTGGAGGGAGGTTTAGAAATATTATGGCCAGATTGGATATTGATGGTTTTTTTTAGAATTTTTAAACAATCTTTTTTTAGTTGTTGATGGACATTTATTTATTTATTTATGGTGCTGAGACTCGAACCCAGTGCCTCAACATGGGAGGCAAGCGCTCTACCACTGAGCCACAACCCCAGCCCCAGACTGGACATTTATACATAAAACAGTACCTTGTTTGGAATGCGATGTGTTGCTTATCTGATAACATACATTTGTAATTTTTATTCTGATGAAATTGTAAACCAGTCTGCAATTGATATTTTTCTCTTTTTAAACTGTGTTTGCRGTTGAGACAAAATTTCACATTTAAGTTTTCTACTACTTATAATTTTTCAAATTATTTCATTTTAGGAAGTAGTCATGCCTCACAGGATGTCAGTTTGTCATATTCCCAGCATCATGTTGGAAATTCAAGTCCTACTTCTACATCTCCTAGCAGGTAATATTTCTCATTTATTGTTAAAGTAATTTCTCAGGTAATGAGTGAGTAACTCCTTCGTTGTGCTCCTCTTTACTTGCCATGTTGGATTATTGTCATTATATCTGCCAATTTTAAGTGGACTGTAGGCAGACACATTATATATAATCTTAAAAATTCATATTGTTTTGTGAAGACATACCCATACCCACGCATACTTGTGTACAATTGAAACAAAATTTCTCAAAATGTTACTTACCTTACTTTTGCCATACACTCTGTACTCCATTTTATTTCATCTTTTAAATTTTCAAATTAATTTTATGACCACTATTGGTTATAGTTTTAAAATACTGATTTAGTGGACTGTATATGAGACTGAGTTCATAGAACTGGGAGTCTAGGTCTGCCTCTACCCATATTGATTAATGAACAGACTACTGAACTAAGAATTCATAAAATTGGAGTCCAGGTCTTCTTCTGCTGATTACACAATTTTGACCTACTCATTTCTCTGGTCCTATCCTTTTTAAGGAAAAGCCGTTGAATTTATGATCTCTAAAATCTTGTTTAGAAAAGGGACCATATTTACTTAAATACATTTATTTTGTTTGCTTGGGGGGACGCTATTTTATGCAGGTAATTTTTTATTCCATAGAGCTGTTACTTAGTCATAATGGGCTTCATTCAAGAAAAATTTAACAAATACCATGCTGTGTGTCTTGTTCTTCATTAAGAACATGCGTATATATGATCTCATGTATTCCTCACAATAGTCTTATGAGGTAGGGATTATTTTATCATGCCTTATATGGGGGGGGGGAGAAATAAAGGTTTTTCTTGGCCAAGTTTGAACTTCTCTTAATCAGTGTGCTGGATTCAAATCTAGTCAGCATGATTGAGCCCTGCCACTATTGACATATTGTCAAATGGAGCTTAAAAGTCAAGATGAAGACACAAATATATATTTTTGTGACTAATTACTATAATTAGTTCTCTAGAGAAGAAATAGAAAGTACTTTGAGAAAGTTTTAACAGCAAGAGATGTTATAGATGAATGAGGAACTGAAAGAAGTCAATGTACTTAGATCATAGTGAAAATGGAAAGTAGGTGATATTGGTGAATTAGCTAGAGGCTGAAGGTCTTTCTTATAGCTGTAATCAAGATTGGAGGATTTTATCATAAAAACAGTACGAAGGCATTGAAATAGGTAGTGATAGGAGCAAGTTTGAAGGGTTGTTTAGTCACAATGGGAGAATGAATTAGAAATGACATGAGTGAAAATAGACCATATAGGAAGTTCTCCATAGCAGGGTATTGTTATAAATAGCAATGTAGCAAGGAGATCATTGAGGCAGAGTTGGTGTTTTGGATTAAGGTGGTGGCAGGAGCTAGAAGGAATTGGATGGCTATGAAGAGATAGTGAAAGATATAGTGGAATTGTAAATGAACCACATTTAAAAATAGTAATGTCTCAATCCTTCTTAGCAGCTTAAATAATTTATGGTGTTTAAACACTTCTAGTTCAGTTGGAATTCAAAGCATCTCCATCCACTTTTATGGTATCTTTAAAGATCTACCAGGTGGAGAAAGAAAAATAATGTTTTTCCCCTCTAGAAATTCTTAGAATAACATATAAGTTAAATAGTTTTCATTAAAGGCTAGAATGTTTATAGTATATATATCTAGTACACTGATAAATAATGTGACTTAAGATACCAATTGATTAGTCTTATAATTTGCCAAATTGGTTATTTGATTTCAAAGAATTTTTTTTTT